ATTCAAAAATCACTTTCATTGACTAAACGTTTTCCTTCTTAGTGCTACTGAAAATGCTTTACTAAACTTAAAAAAATCTTCCATCAGGGTTTAATGGTGAAAGTACTCCACCATTAAAGTGAAAGTGAAATTATTTAATTTCCATGACAATTTGGAAGAGCCCATAGGGCATTACAAACTGAACACAAAGTTCAAAATACAGCTTAAGTGAGAATAAAAAAAATATCTAAATATCCAAATTACTCAGATAAATTAATCAATGTTGACTCAATACTCTGTTCAGTAAACCATAAACTACAGCAAAAGGGCTGTGCCACAAAACAGTTATGCCTGTCAAATGCTGAATTTCTTTAAATTACACTATCCCAATACATTATTTAAATCATTGTTAAATTGCTGTTTAAATTATAGTAGCATAGTTGTGATCAGCTGCATTTGCCTTCTGAGTAATTTAAAGCAGTTTTTTCTTAACTCGTCGCTAACTCAATAGACACATTGTTCCTTGACCAAAGGGAAGGGTCTGGCCCAGCAATTCTGACTCACAAACAGCCCTGCTGACCAATAATATTCATCAAGGACATTGGAACTTTTTTTCCTAAAGGAGTGTCATTAGATTGTAATTCAGACATAATATATGCAAATACAAGAAGCTATACTTAAAAGCTTACTTTACAACTAGATTAAAACCCAGAAGTGAAGGAAGACAGAGGAAGTCTCTGGTGATGTGCCCACATGGTATGGCAGGCCTGGAAATGCCATGGCAGAAGGTTGCCAAGGGACACTGGGTGCTGGAGGCCACCCCATCACTCATCTCTGGGGATCCCCTCCAATTTCATTAAAACCCTAAAACAAAGATCTGTTCAAGTGTGAAAACAGAGGAAGTTTCCCTCACAGTTGGAAGGATGGAGGGGCATTATCCTTGCCTTGTGTTTGCTCCAAAACTTTTTGAGAAACCTGTCCTGTTTATGGTCTGCATAATGTATCTTAATGTTGATTAGCTTTTTCCTCTTGAGAGGATCTTAAGTTGTTTGTTTCTAATGAAATGCTCCATCCCACCAGGGACATTATTCTATTAGACTGAAGCCAACACAAGATGGTCTATAAAGAAGTGATGCAAGCTTCCTGACAACTTGAAAATAAGAGACTAATACTAATAAAGGATAAAAAATATTCATGTAAGAGTCATCCTGATTTTAAAAAGACATGCAGTTTAAGGAAAACATATATAACAACACGTGCATTTATAGTGAGTACACCTATACACACTATAGGTGTATACAATACTCAACAATTACTCAACAATTACAAATACAATACTCAACACACAAGTGAGTATTGTATTCACAGTCTGAAAGCATCTCTGTTATAAAGTTATTCCTCAGAGCAATGGAATATTATGGATTATTGTAGTAATTAATGAAATTAATTAAAGGCACACTTAAAAGATTCAAGTTAGCAGAAGGTTGCATAAGAAGCTTTTCTCCAGATAACAGAGCCTATTGGAGAGCTTGTGCCCTCTCAGCAGGAGACAGGCCAAAAGGTTCCCACAGCATTCCAAGACTCTGGGAAAGCAGGATCTGCTGGCAGTTGCTGCCCAAGCACCTCGTGGTGTTGAAACCTTGGAGCTGAAGCTGTAAAAGGGATGCTACCTGAAAATCTCTTAGGATTTTGCTTCACCTTCTTTGAGGCAAGCTCCCTGCAGAGGTACTTCTGGGAATTCATTTTTCTCAGAGGAATTTTTCCTTATTACTAGATGGAATAAAAATAGTATTCTCTTGATTTAAAAGCTGAAACATTTTATTTGTAAGTACACAGCTGCAATCCCACATCCAGTGGAGATATTGACTAGTTCTATAAAAATTCCTGTGATAATCATTTGCCTTTGCATTACTATCAGATTACTATATGGTAAATTGAGATGGCAGGCAGATTTTTTCAGGCAAAAATTGAACTATTTTCTTCCCTGATGAAAATTTCTTCGACTTCACAAAGAAATACTTTAATTTAGATTATTTACTCCATACAAGAGATGAAGTAACAAGACCATGATTTCCATAAAGTGTGGCAGGAGAGGCTCCCAGAACCAAACAAAAGGACAAGATTCCTCCCCTGACATCACTGATGGATTATACAAATGATGCTAAAAAGGATGAAGAATATCTGAATAGCAGTATTGTCTGACCCAAGATGAAGTAACCAGAATAAGAGAATGAGTAAAAGGTCTGAAAGGGAAAAAAAAATCAAACCACCAAACCCTGTTTCTCCAATTCAATCATTATATTCCATTTCTGTCCATCATATCAGTGGCAGTGAGAGAATATTCTTGAAAAAGACTGGTTAACCGGGGCCTGAGACAGTCAAAAGTTTTGAAAGCCAAGAGCTGATTATAAAAAAAACAGAAAAATGACAGTCAGTGCTGCTTCTTTAAAGCCTTTAAATCATTCTTACTTACACAGTTACTGAAGGTAACTCAGAGCATATTTTTCTCATTTTCACTCCTAATAATTTCTTTGTACAGCAAAATTAAGTCTGTAGAAAGGGCTGCTCATGGTGATTCCACTAGTAAGTCTGTACAAAGATACATTTTTCCCCCTGCCTGGCCTGTATCTTTATCTCTGTTCAATAAATAATATCACAAAATTGTAGGGCAAAAATACATGAAGGAAATATTGCAAGAAATTTATATTGTCCTGCAGCCAATTTGCTAGTCAAAGTTGATGATGACTATTTAAGAAAAAAAACAACTTCCAACCACCTTCCAACTTTGCCCAAAAACCCCTCCAACCACTGGAGATAAGACTTAGTGAATACCATTAAATTAAAGCAACACATAGATATTAGTTTCCTTTTCATCAAGGTAGTAAGGTCATCATGTACATCAACAAGCTCTCTGACATGCTTTAAACTGAAAACTCTCAAATTGAGACATCTCTCTTCATTGATCCACTGGAGTCATATAAAACACTTGGAAAAAGATTAGTAAGTCATACTGCCAGGTATTTTCCTTATTTCCAGGAATACATGCTATAAAGGCAGCTACAGCACAAACACGTTGAATTCTTCTTGTACATCCCTGTCTTACGTAAGCAACAACTGTGCCTGTAACCATGAAGTTAAATGTAACCACAGATTGGAAAGATGCTCTGCACAAGCACTGATTGGCAAGAATGGAAATTGGTGCACTTAATGATCTGTCTATTAAAATATTGTTCAGACATTAATAAAAGAAAAACTCTGCTCTAGGCTTCAAAATTCAGCATGAACCACTGATGTGGGCTGAATCCTTCTTAAATAGATATTATTTTATTTCAATGTCTTTTGTGATTATGACAATTTTGACAAGATAATTATCTCCTCTGAACAGGACTTTTTAAGGTTTAGAGAAAAAAATGTAAGATTTATTAAATAATCTGTCAAATTATCTATGAACCCTGCTTTCAAAAGAAATCCTACAATCTCATTAAAATAATTACAGAAAATCTATGCCTGATGTTATAAATAACAAGTATCAGTATCACTAGCATACAAAGGAGAGAACTAAAAGTACAGGAACTTGCAAGATTCAAAAGGTGATAGCCTAGCTTTGTTCTCTTAAAATAATCCACAGAAGTTTCTGTGTTAAATATCCTGCTAGGTCAACTTTTGAACCACAGTCTTCAAAATGCAGGGAACAGAAAAGTCTGTAGTTATGTTAAAAAATCAGCCAATCTAGATATGTATAATGCAACCTCATTTACTGGGGAAAAGCAAAAACCAGTAGCACAACAATTACGCAGAAAGAGAAGCACAGGTACAAGCAAAAATCGGTAGGAAGTGCCTTAAAAAAAATTAAAATGCTAGAATTCTCTTTTCAGGAAATGCATTAGAAAACGGAGGAATTAAACTTAAGGGGATGTCAGGAATGAGAGAAATTATGAATGTTAAATATGATTTCAGTTTTAATTCTATATACTCATGCTTCTTCCAGGGAGAGAGAGGACTGAGCAAAATTGGGAAGAAGGGTATGGTGTTTACTTTCCTGTGCTGTAAATACAGTAGGTAGGAGAAAGAGGACAGGAACAGCTCTGAAAGCTCTACAAAAAAGATTGCCTCTTAGCTCTGTAAGTAGGATGACTCCTGCTGTTGTGAATTATGGCCTTAATTCTGCCAGCCAGCACTGCACTTGCAAAATTCAAGTGTCTTCTTTCTCTTACACTGGGGAAGTTACACTCTTTTAATTGAAAACTCCTTCTCTTGGAGAGTAAAGGGTGAAGTAATCAACCAATGCAAGGTGACAATGCAGGAAAAGCTTCTTATCAAAACACTTCAAGATAAAAACATACTATTATCTGAGAGAATGTTACAGATACAGAAGGTTTTCCACCTAAGTTACTTGAAAGACGAAACACTGCTGTCATGCCACCATGTCAAAGCATGACAGAATTGAAACTCCTACCCATCGATAGCATCACCAGATGCTATCACCTGTCCCTTGCCCCTGCACAATTTCCACTGATTGGTGTTCTCCATTATAACCACTCCAGCAGGAGTGGTCCCTATCGCTCGCTGAGAATGCGGAGTGGACAGTCTATGCACAAACCTATTTCAAGCACAAAATGGCATTTTATTTACCATGAAATCAAGCACCGTGTTTCTGAACAGCTATTTAATGCTACAAGGTGAGTTGCCTTTCAGGAGGCATTCAGAAAATTGTTCTTCATAAAGCTGAAGTGCTAAACAAATACATAAATAACAGGAGTTAAATAGCTGAACAGTTAACTGAAATAGGAGAAATTCAGCAATCATTTGTAAGAGGTTTTAAGTGTAGAAGGCCATCTTCTCCAGAAAGGTTAACTGAAATGTAGAGACATGAAATTTAACTTTCTATAATTTGTTTTCAAAACTCTTTTGTACTCTTTTTCACTTTAAGAGGGGGGGAAAAAAAAAAAAGCGTAAAAAAAAATAATCCAATGATATAAAATAACCACATGGACTTTTAAAATGTTTGGAAACCAACTCACCAGTCTCTTCAGCACTCTTAACAAAAGTTTCAGTTGTCGTGCATCTTTTTTAGACTTCAGTACTTCAGCAAAGCTGTCCATGTTTTCTGGAGACATACTCTCCCGGCTGTTCCCTCCATAGAGCTGAACCAGCAGCAATAAGCACTGTGAGGCACTCTCAAATACTTCAGTCTCTTCACTGGGAAGCTAAAAATGAACAAACAAAAATCAAATTCCAATTTAATAAAAATTGCATATCCCTGTGGAATTGGAACAGTATTAACGTTTGCATTGTGCCAGGAAAGAGTAATTTCTAGTTGGATGACTTGAAGTTCCATTAAACTAAGCTTAATAAAGTGATGAAAATATAATTAAAACATATATGTTCTTAAGCAGTAGTAAAACTACGTCTCCACCACGATTCTATCAAACACCCTATCTATAGTGACACCAAAAAAACACTGAAAAAGTTGTTCCAAATTCTCTTATTTTCAGACAGTATATTTTGCTTTAAATAGAAGTAGTAATAGCAGAGAGTATCATTATAGCCAGGATGTCTAAACTCCTATACAACTCACACCACAAAACCTTCTTTAACTATTTCTAAATCAAGTCTGCAGCTTCTGGCTGTGGTAGCACACAGGCTATCCAGCTATTTAACAGATTTTAGGTAGGTGCACCTTAGGAGGTATGTTTTGCAGAATTTGAAAATTTTCCTAAATTCTAGCTTTCCTGCACTCCTTTGAAGAGCACTGGAGCAGACCCTAGCAATGGGATGGAAAAACTCCTGGAAAGCAAAATTATGGAAAAGATATGGGGGCATGGCTAATAATACTCTTTAGATGAGCTTCTGATAGTATGACACAGCTATCAACAGGACAGCAGGAACACAATGCCCAGTTTTAGGGCACATAGCTCACAAAAGCTAGTGAAATAATCATGTAGGTTTCTTGGAAACAGGCAAGAGGCTAAAAGATTGGAAAACCTAACAGCAGAAGACTGAACTAATGAAATATCTATAATTTATCAAAGGGAGGGGTTAAAGGGCACTTGATCATACTCTTCTGGTTACAAGTGAGAAAAAGCAGGCTGAGGATGGGTTAATTCCTTTAGCTGAAAACAGACTGATAAGAGACAATGGCTCAAAACTTTATCTAAAGCAATTCAGATTAGAAGGAAGACAGGACTTTGATTTCCTTTTTTCTTTCTTTAATAAGGGTAATTAAGAACTCCCTTGCAACTGAGACAGATATAAATTGCCTGTGATGGAGAATATCAGAATAATCAGGGTTTTTTTCTAAAAGAGTAACAAAATGCTTTAATGAGAAATTTATTTAGGGAAGTCCTATGTCCTGTTTTCTTTTTAGCAGTTTTATTTTCCAGTCAAGTCTCTTCTAAGTGACTACATTTGCTGAAGTCAGTGGCATGTTTTTCAGTCAGTGTCTGCTTCCAGGACTGGTAACGCTTGATGTTTATAGTTACTGCTGGAGAATGGTATGCAGAACCACAGGCACTGCTTGGTTCTGCTCAACTTCCTATGCACCAGAAACAAAAGGGCAGAAAAGAGGTCACACCTGCGACCTTCCTGTGGGGAGGAGTGGACCAGACAGGTGACCCAAACTGACCAAATTAAGTGTTCCATTGGTATAAATCTCAGTATAAATCTGAAGGATCATGAGGGTCAAACTCTTTTCATCCATGGCTGGCATCCTGGGAGGACTCCATCCAGTCTTTTGCCTTTGATCCCAATCTGGGTGTTTCTGAATCCATGCATTCCTGGATCCAGCTCCTGCCTGCCACTGAATTCAGTCTGGGACTTTCCTAGGGCTGCCCTGAAGCCTCAGGGCTGATGTGAGCATTTTTGGAAGGCAGCACGATGGTGATTTTGTATATATTTGTACATAATTAATTTTATTTTTCATCATTATTGTTTCATTAAAGCTTTGCAGTTTAGTTTCCAATCCACAAGTATCTTTCCCTTATTCTCTTTTCCTTCCCTTTCTGGGGATGGAGAGGGGTTAATAAGAGAGCATCTGTCACTCTTTTAATTGCTGGCCAAGCATTAAACCTTGACAATCTTAAATACGATCCTAGAATAAATTACTAGAACAGCCTTTTCTGGCCTTACAGTCTATGAATCGAACAAACTATACCAGTGGTGGTCTTAACCAAGAAGGTGTAGAAGTGTAAAGACACCTCATCATTCCTATTCAGTTTTTTAACTAAAAAAATACTATTAAAATACAAAGAAGCTAGAAAAAGTACAGTTAACAGACTACCCTTATTGACAATTAAAAGGAAACAAATTACATAATTTGTCCAACCATTTCTATAATATGCCCAACCATTTTAATAACAATTACTTATTTAATCTGCAGTATGAACCTCTCAAGGTTTTTTTTTCATTTTAAGGAAAATCCATACAGTTACTGTAAAGCAATCTGGGAACATATCATCAGACATATATATACACTCCTGAAATATTCAAGCAGCAATTCCCCAGGGATCTGCATGCAAATACAATCCTGTTTTCCATTAGCTTCATAGAGCTGGCTGTTTAAAACATACTGAACTGAGATGTAAGCTCTGAATACATAGCCCCAAGACATATCACATTCTATTTGACCTAATGCTATGCAAGTGACAGCACCACAGCAGTTATTTCTTCCCCAGTTTTGCTGGGTGGTTTTTCTTCATTCCAACCTAAATGCCACCTATTTGACTGTTTCCTTTCCAACATCCAGAACTATCTCAGAACATCACCAACAGAAACAGCAAGGGAAAAAAGGAGGAAAAACTATAAACAGTAAACAACCTTTATAGCTCCATTGATATCTTCAATCCATATCAAGTAAAATAAAATCAGCTTTGAGCCAACTTGTATTTCCTTCAATTAAAAAAAAAGATATTACATAAATGAAGGAAAAATTAATTACTTTAACATATCTCTTATTCTTTCTAAAAGCAACACTAATTCACAGTTTGTTACTAGATCAGTGCAGACAGGTATATCAAGCACTCTCTGAAGAACATCACAGTACAGGAACTATAGTCAATTTTCAAATGTTTTTTTTGTTGGAAAACCAACAATTAAAAAAAAAAAAAGTCCATGAATGTTTGGACAGGTACACCTTTGCCCTGCTACAGTAGTGCAGGCTAGTTCCTAGAGTACATAAGCACAAGAATTCCATGTGTAACCAGTAACCACAACAGCCATATTTGGAAGCAAGAGTGTTCTGAAGGTCTTTTTCTGAGATATTCAAGACATCAAACGCAGGAGTGGAAATGTGCTAATCCCTGCAAAGGACTGTCCCTACAACAACCTTGCATGAAGAAGCACATAAAACACCATGTCCGTTGCAGTTCTTCCTGAGACCAGGTGGGTACATGACTTCCAAGGAAGCAAATTAGCAAGTCCAACCTGTCAGCATTATTCCCAAGGAAGGCTTTCTTCAGCAGGCGTCCTCAGGTGAGACAGTGCAACACTTTGATCAAAGTGAGGAGGTGCTGGGCTCAGGCCAATGGCTTTCCTTATCTCCTTCTGACACACCCAACTTTTTGCCACTGTTGCAGCTTTTCACAGGGTATCCAGCTGCCAGTGACCATCCTCCAAACCTAGCCACCAGTATCACACCGGGGTTCACAGTACTTGCCAGTCATGACATCATCCTATTCAATCGCAAATCATAGGATCATAGAATCCTAGGGGTTGGAAGGGACCTCACAAGATCATCTAGTCCAAGCCCCCTGCCAGAGCAGGGTCACCTAGAGTACATCACACAGGAACGCATCCAGGTGGGTTTTGAATGTCTCCAGTGAAGGAGACTCCACAACCTCCCTGGGCAGCCTGTTCCAGGGCTCTGTCACTCTCACAGTAAAAAATTTTTTTCGGATATTCACCCTGAACCTCCTATGCTCCAATTTGCACCCATAATTAGGGTGGAAGAGGAACTTTCAGCAATATTCCTTTTTAAATATGTCTGCATCAGAATTTTTCTCTATAAATCTCACCTTTGGGCTGTTCCACTACCAACAAGTAGCGTTTTAGATGTCATTATCAGTCATAAGCTGGTAACCTGAAATTTAACAATGGCTGCCAGTCAGTCAATTAACACTTATAAAGAGTAGGGGATCTGAAGAAAATTATTGGTATGAACAAAAGCAATGACTGAAAATACAATAAATAACTGTAAATATAAAAAAGAAGTAATGAAAATTCAGCTTTCAAGTGAATAGTAGTATCTCATGTATAATAAGAACAGCCAAGCTAGAATCATGTCATGCTAGACAATGAATATAGACAGATCGTTCACTTCCTAATCAGCTGGAACAGTGTTCTAATTATTTTTCTAATCTTAACAATTCCATTTGATACAAAGAATTATATTTCAAGTCTTTGAAATGTGTTTGTAGTTTTTTGTGACAGCAGCTATTTAAGTTTTTGTTCTTTCAGTGAAGGAGAAACACATGAAAAACTAGAGTTCTAACTCAGAAAATATCTCTCCCTTAATATTTCATAATTACATGGTAAAATTCCAGTGGCCTTTAATTTCTTTTTGCATTATCTGTTTTAGATGGGATTATGGGTTCAGCCCTTAAGCAAGGTAGAAACATTAGAGCTACTTCTTGCAGCTGTTAATATTCTGGGCTAGTGCACAACTTGAAGAAAATCCAGCACCTTACAATGAATTACTGAACAGCCAAAGTCACAATTTTTTGCCATTCTTTAACTCAGAACCACTGATATATTTTTTACTTCAAAATTTTAGAATAATGTCTCATGACAAGACTTTTGTGCAATGAAGATTAAGTATAATTTTTTACTTCATTTTTATGGCCATGTTACAGTCTCCTGTAAACAGGCTCCTAACATAATATTCTGCTTCTCTTCCTTTCTAGAAAGAGCCAGCTTTCTGTATTTTAAGGTTAATGTAGTGAAATGCAGGAAGTTTCTTTCTATTCTACATCTAAATTCCTGCAGTCTGTTGTCAGAAATGCCTTCATTTTGAACTGAGTTGCAGTGTGTTCATGAATTGCAAACCATTGCAAGAAATGTGTGATCATTTGAGCTGAAGTGGCAGTTTTCACACTGTTGGAGTTGTTACAGCATCTAATTTTAGAACTACAATGAAACTGTCTGGATTACCCAGAGGGGACACTATTTCAGTGCATTAATGAGGTTATAAACAAAGAGAGTTTATTACTATAAGAATAGATGTTCATTAAATCAGTAATGTGATTACAGAACGTGCTGTTAAGGAAGCACCATTGGGAACTATAGGGAAGATTATTTTGCAAACATTAAACAAAACGTAAAAGCAAAACACCATTACTAAATTACTAAAACTTTACTATGCTATTCTTATTTATAAACATGCACAGTTTTAAATGAAAAAAAAATACATTTTGCTTTAGGGCAAAATTGTTGTCCTCCTACCTAGGGGAAAATATTTCAAAACAAAATGTATTTTATTATATTCTTATTTCCTCTGGTGTGTTCTGTTTGGTAGGGTTTTTTGGGGGGTGTTGTGTGTGTGGTTTTTTGTGGGTTTTTTTGTTTGCTTATTTTTTGTTCTTGTTTTTGTTTTTTTTTTAGGGTTGCTCTGTAGAAAAGAATTCTTCAAATGTAATTCACAGATAACACTTCATATACAATACAGGAAATAAACATATGTCTTTCCAACCTGATCCCAGAACTGTCTGTATTCCTAAGAAACACAAAACAAAATTCCACAGTCTCCTGGGTTATCATTCTTCTGCAGTCACTTTCATCATACATTGGCAAATACCTTCACATGCTCTAAACCAAAAGTGAGGGCACAGTCTTAGAACCAGGGCAATGCAGAGACAGAAAGGACTGAGAAGAGATAATCTCATTCATCCCTGTGCACTGAGGCTTCATATTTGTCCTCTTTATGTTCGCACATGATTAACTGGTTTTTCAACAATAATACACAGAAGTCAGTAATCAACTACAAATTGTACTAGTAACACTATAACGAAGCAGCTTAGCACCAAAAGACAAGGAAAGTTCTCTCAAAGTTAGGACACAGAAAAGTGGAGGATCTAAGCCTAGGATCTAAATCTAGGATCTACAGATGAATGAAACTCCTTATATAGGTAGTGGCAAGGTTTCTGAAAAGTTTCTGAAAATCCACACTGAACTGAGTTCAGAAGTAAACTTTTTAAGGTTTTTCAGTGTAACGGTACATTAAAAAGTAGAAGGTATTTTGTATCTTGTTTATATATTGCTGTAAGTTCCAGTATACTAATCAAATTACATTTAAGTTCAAGTGGAGAAACATTACACAAAAAGCTAAGTGTAATTAACTTTTAAACACAAAGCTGCCAAGGAGAAGACTGCTCAATTTGTTTTTCTCTTATTGATCAGTTAAGGGCAGACTGATCATGGGATTCAATATTGAATTCTCCATATTTGCAGAGTTTTCTGCATGACAGAATTTGTCATTATAACTTCTTTTGCATTCTTAAAATCTCTGAAGTTTCATTTACATGCAATCCAGGTTTCCTACACTTGCTTTGCTACTCTCTAAGAGACAGACCACATCACAATTAAAGGAAAGGAAAATTGATTCTAAGTTTTAGATATTTTCAAGTTTAACTCACATTGATTTTTGAGGAATTATTAAGAGGGATAAACATGTAGAACTTGAGGAAAATAAACAAACAGACAAATAAATGGGGCATGGAACACTCACCTACTTGAGTGATATATACATCAGTGAGGGAAAGCAATTACTCAAAGTGACATAAGAGACTATAAATATGGTAAGAGAGGTAGAAATAGCAAATAAGATAAAATAATTTTACTTCAATATTTTAAAGTGATAGTTCAGAATTTAAGGACTCCATTATCTCCAGAAAATAAAGTTCACAAATAACTGAGTGTCTCAGAACAGTAATAAAGGGTTATGTAGCTACTGTGGAGGCTCTTGCTTCACTACACAGCTCAGTGAATATGTAGAACTACTGATAGCAGCTCCACAACATGAGCTTCTGTAAGCTCAAGTCTTTTTGAGGGGTAGGGAGAATATATATCTAGAGAGACCCACAAGACTTCACAAGGAATCTAGTCCTATTCAAAATTAGAGCATAAACCGTGTTAAACAAGTGGGTCCTAGATGTTAAAAATTATTATTCCTTTGTTCAAACTCTTCCAGCCTTAACAGGAAATGTTTAATGGCTTTTAATGGTTACAAAATTTACCAAATTTAGCTAAAATATCTTTCATATATCCAATCAAGCACATGTACAGAATGGTATGTACACGTTACAAGAGAAAAACCCTCACTTTTACAAAATCTTTAATAAAATTCTAGAGCAAAAAATTGACAAACAAAAAGAAGCAGCAGCAAAGATCTTTTCTCATAGGTTAAAATCAGCAGATTTTAAATTAGAATTTTAAACATACCAGAATCTGTAGAAATAAAGAACAAAGTAAAACCTAGTTGTAATTTGCAGTCATGCTTCTGAAATACAAGGGCAAGTTAGAATCTAATCAGTACATGCTAACTATACAATTATCCTATCCTTTAATTTAAAAGTCATAAAAGACTTCCAGGTGGTATAGCCTGAGCAAAGCTTGGCCTCTAATTTTTGGTTCTTTAGAGAGTTAATGGAATTTAAATTTATGTCTTATTTCACTTTAAAGGAACATTTGCATCTCTTCGTGTCTTACTATTTACCATATATAGTGATTAAAAAAATTAAAATAAAATAAATTAAAATAATTTATAAAGATGAAATATTATATAGTTGAAATTCAGTCACTTTATTTTAGGTCATTCAGTGAACATTTCCAAAAAACCTTTGTCAATGGCTGGTTAAAATTAATCCATGCAAGGAGGACTTAGCAACAAGTACAACGCCAAAAATTGATAAAAAAGGAATTGCACTTTTCCCCAAAACAGCAGGGCCACAGGTACTCATATCACAATACAAATTAACACCTATGCTTAAATGAGAAACAAAATCCAAAATTGGGGCTGGAGTAGAACACAGTGAATGTGATATGCCTCCAAGTGAAGTAACACAGAGAGGACTGTGCCATGGGGAAATTCTCACATACCATTTTAATGGCTTTATGTTGAATAAAAGGCTGAGGGACCCTCCAAAAACCATTCAGCTCGAGAAGCATTCCTTTACTACAAGCTATTGCAGACAGAGCCAATACAAATCTCCAGCAGAGTACGACGCAGACTGAGCTGATGGGATGAGTCAGGGCCACAATACAGCACTCTGTGGAGATTTCAATGCAATGCTGTGACATTTAGCAGACCCTGGAAAAAACTGACTTTAGACAGACAGACTTCAAAAACATTTATAGATCACCAGGGACCATTCTCACTCCTAAATCCCTCATGATCATGTTTAAATAAAACTCAGCTCTTGAGAAAAACTCAGAAGACTCAAAACGAAGAAAATTATGTTAAGTCATCACTCACAGAAAGCTAATTTTAAGTTTACAGGCTTCTCTAATGGTAGTAGTTCTTGGTTTCAAATTTTGAATACCATCCTTTCCCTATGCAGTGATCACAAGTCCATTCTAAAGGGCTAAAATTTGGCAACACCCATGTATCTGACATGAGAAACTGCAGCCTGTACCTTGTTCCACTTTTGTGGTTGGGACAGACTTACCTGGATGTCCCTGTGACCTATAATTTCTTAAAAATGGTTAGAATCCTTCCTTCCTACTAGCTTATAAACAGTGAAAAACTAGCAAACTGAGTTCTAAGATGTTGAATTCAATTGAATAATCCCAACTTCAGCAACATTCCAAAAGGCTTACAAACAAGCAAATTCTCACCAGCTGAATAAGTGGGCTAATTAGATCGGCCAAGGGTTTATTGATAACCAGAAGTTCTTCAGCAGCCTGCGTGTCCCCTCCTGTGCCAGATTTCTGTGCCTTAATAAGATAAGAAAAAACAAAAAGCAACCTTAGTAACTGTTCCATTATGAGAAACCAGTTCCATTAGGTGGTTGAAGTCTGAATGGAAGTTTGAAGGCGACTTGTACCCTCTTTTCTAGTTAAGTATTCCTAGGCTCCCAATGACCAGTTAACGCTCCCTGCGTCTGTAACAATAAGCACAAAGCAGAAGGGACTCCTGCTGTCATGCCCATTCTGCACAAGCTGAACATACTGACCTACATGACATTTCTTCAGCAAAATGCTATAAATTGTAAATGCAAAAGACATCTTGACAGCCATAAATGTTTTATGCATTTGTATTCTCTTTCAACATGACATGCCTATGTTAACATTGAAGTTCAACTACTCTTTTTTCTTTTATCGGGAGCAATTTTAAGAGCAACTCCAAACAAGAAAATCAAGGTGACTCAGCAATTTATGTCCAGTTTTGTCCTTCTGACTCACTTTGTATCCTGAAATATTAATAACATATTATAATAATTTAAATTAGCTGTCTTCCTGGGTCCGGGGTTAAGGACACTACTAGGAAACTTCCTAACCTGGTACAGCCCTCAAACTATTACCATTACTGCTCTTCCATATGGGTGGCAATGAAGCCACAATATGTAGCCCAAGGGTGATCACAAGAGACTTCAGAGCCTTGGCTTTGTAGGAATAGGGTCAACACATGGATGGAGCTGAACTTGGCAAGGGATGCAAAGAATAGTAAGGGCTTCTACAGGTATGTCGGCAAGAAGAGGAAGGTCAAAGAAAGCACACCTCCCCTGATGAACAAGACTGGCAAACTGGTGAAAACAGACAAGGAGAAGGCTGAGGTACTCCACAATAATTTTTTGCCCCATTCTTCACTGGCAACCACTCTTCCCATCCCTCTAGAGTGGATGGACCACAAGGCAGGGACTGAGGACACAAAGTCCCACCCACTGTAAGAGAAGATCATGTTTGTGACCACCTGAGGAACCTGAAGATATGTAAGTCTATGAGACCTGACAAGATGCATCCCAGAGTCCTGAGTGAATTGGCTGATGTAGTTGCCAAGACACTCTCCACGATTCTTGAAGAGTCATGGCAGTCCAGTGAAGTCCTGGGTGATTGGAAAAAGGGAACTATTGCACCCATTTTTAAGAAGAGTAGAAAGGAAGACCCTGGGACCTACTGACTTGTTAGCCTCATCTCTGTGCCTGAGAAGATCATGGAACAGATTCTCCTAAAAGCTATGACAAGGCACATGGAGAACAGGGAGGTGATTCAAGACAGTTAGAATGGCTTCACCAAGGGCAAGTCCTGCCTGACCAACCAAGTGGCCTTCTATGATGGAGTGACTACATCTGGGGACAATTGAAGAGCTACGGATGTCATCTGTCCGGACTTCTGTAAGGCCTTGGACACAGTCTCCCCAACATCCTCTCTCTAAATTAGAGAGACATGGGTTTGATGGGTGGACTGTTTGGTGGATGAGAAACTGGTTGGATAGTCACATCCAGAGGGTAGTGGTCAACGGTTCAATGTCCAGACAGAGACTGGTGACAACTAGTGCCTCTCAGGGGTCAGTACTTGGACAAATACTGTTTAATATCTTCATCAATGACATAGACAGTGGAATCAAGTGCACTCTCATCAAGTGTGTAGATTACACCAAGGTGAATGGTGCAGTTGACACACCTGATTGTAATTCTGACCATGAACATCCCCACTCATCAAAACACACTGCCATCCTAGGCAGTGTTAATTACGACTCATCTCTGCCCCAGGACTCCAGAAAGGTCTGCTTGCAAGATCCATGCAACTTTGGACCGTGACCCTCTAAAGTCTAGCTGTTAGAGAAAAATGTAAACATTTTGTCTGAAATACTCATGTAAAAATCTTTTTGTATGGTGTTTCATTTAAATCTTAATCCCAAAACTGTCATCCAAATGTAATAGCTGAGGACTTGCTTGGCTAAGTGAACACATGAGCAAGGCCCTGGAGAAAGGAGACATTATTACTCTTGATACTGATGAATCAAAAGGGAAGAATTTTGAAATAAGAGAGATCTGAAAAGCTGTTTCTCCAGGTAGTAAGACATTGGTATTTTCCTCCCTAAGACTCGCCACAAACACTTTGAATGCAGAAGTCCAAGAAGGGTAAAAGAGAAGACAAAAAAAGCAAGTGTTTATATTAATCAAGAAAGGGAAGTAAAGACACGTTCGCTTGGGCAAAATTTACAATGGCTCTTTCTGATTAATGCTTGGATGAGAAGAAAGACATCCTCCCTCAGGGATACTTGACTACTTACTTTAACTGTTATATATTTAGTGTCTTTGGAAAGAGAATGAACATCACTAAAGAAACGAAAGTTTATGTATGTATATAAAGTATACACATTATAGCACATTTAAACCTACATGAAGTCACTACATACAGTCAAATCAAGACTGCAAATTACTTTTAACTTTTTACTTTTTTACTTTTTTATCACCTGTGGAACATGATATGATGACACTGCTCCAAAACAGATATGTAAATTAACCTGAACCTTTGTGCCAAAACACAAGTACTTGGATACAGTTATCGCTTACATATAAAAAGCTTCAATAAAAAGGATACCAAGTGGAGGTAGTATCATCTGTAAAAGTAAACTTAAGTGTCAAAAATGAATAATAGGAGAAAATTTGATTCTGTATTTTCAAGTTCTGTTTTACAAGGAATCGTATTAAGAAGATCCCTATAAAAACAGTCTAAGAATATTTGCTATCACCACTGTGATGCATTTATTGACACCTGGATAGTGGAATATTATGTAGATGCATGGCAAATATCTTTCTGAGCTCCTTTTATATGGAGGTGGAAGTCTTCACTGGAGGAGGAAGTCCTACCAATGCCATGATTCACAATGATTGAGACAGAAACTTGGAGGACCAAGTGATCAGCGTAAGAGAGCGAATACTTTTGTTGACACACATGCAGAGGTGACCCGTGCTTTTCAAGCACAGCAATCATGTGCAATTCATGATAAAATATACTGGGTTTTGCAGAGTAATCTTTTTCTTTTGAAATGAATGGAAGAAAAAGGCTTTGAACTATCACTGAGCAAATGCTGAAGTACAGAAACGAGAGTCAGCTAGGATCTGTGTTTCCAGCATAGTGAGGCTGGTATGAATAGTCTAGCCAAGTAAGCACATGGAACATGGATATGCAGTTGAAAAGACACACTCTTTTCACAACAAACTAAAAATTCAATACAATCAGAATAGTGGATATCTAAAAATTGTTGAAGATGGGGATGACTCCAGGAAACACATTCCATACCTGTAAAGTCTGGCGCACAATGTTTACTGTGTACATCAGCATACAGTGCAAAATGTTAAGCAAGGACAGAAGCAGGGCATTTGCAGTTTTGGTGCTGCTTTTGTAATTTGCCTCCAAGTACAGAGCCACGGTTTCTATTAGGAGATTACATACGTGACGAGTCAGTCCTAGATAGAAAGGGAGACAAAAAAAAAAAATAGACTCTCAGGAAAAGAACAATGTGGAAAGTAGCCCAGTTAAAAAGAACAGATTAGCCTAAAACCAAATTTTGCATACATTATGAATACTTATTAAATTTCCTTTTTTTCTCCATCATTATAATTACTTCCTCTTCTGTTCAGAGCAGCTCACAAAGGGAGCTAAACTGATACAATCAAATTTGCTAACTGCATGGAAAATTATGTAACTTTCATTAAATGCATACTTTAAATCCTAAACTTTTCTGTGGCATGCTGCTACAGAAGGCTCCTTCACAACACTTCTGGTTACAAGAATTAAGCAATTTCTCCAGGCTTTTACAAAATTACATATTAAGGTCTTCCAATTACAACCCTCCTCATCTGCTTGCATTGTAGAATTGAACAGTCATGCTTAACATAAAGTAGCTTCAAAAGAGTATTATAAATAAAATACTGAATACTACATCTAAAATGTTATTAAGATCTGATTGAGTGGTGGTAGTAAAAAGTTTCCTGAAAATATCTTCTTGTCTTCAAGCTTTTTTTGTTTTTTTCAGCTTCTTTGGAAGTTAATATCATCAGCCTCTGTAGCTTGCTTAACCGAGAAATCAACTCACAGAAAAAATATGATCCATTTCAAGGCAACACTAATACAATTTAGAATCTTTCTTAGTTTCAAATACAAAGTGACTGAGTTAATTCTCTTTTATCACAATCCTTTTCTTTCAGAGTTTCATAAAGAAGGAAAGATATTTTGTTCCTCACCAAGAACATAATAATGTTTATAAACTATGTTATTTTAAACTGACAATTAGCTATATTGGGACTTGTGTGCACACAGGTAGTAACATTGTACTATATTAGCATATTAGCTTCATCCCCATGACTTTTAAAAATGACTGAATTATTGAATTGATTTCACTGAAGTATAAAGACACCTTTTATAAATTGTCCTTTAAAAAGTAATTGTACGTATATTTTTACAAACAGCAGAACAAGAGTAAAATGAGACATTGTAGAATATAATATGTAATTATACCATTCAGCTTTTAAGAGTAGTCAAATTTGTGTGGTGTCAAACTATTTTTGCTTTGAAAGCTGCCCCATCAATTAACTAAACTTCCATGAAATTTTTTCCTATTCAGCATCCTTACTACTTTCCTCAGGAAATTAAATAAAAAACATTCATTTAGAATACAGCTATGGGTCACAATCATTAAGAGTTACAGTCTCTTTATATCTCACATCTTTCTGAGCTTCTGTGATGACTAACATTATTCTTCCAAAACTGTTTGACTGATGGACTACAGCTCAGGCTAAGCTTTCAATTTCTGGGGTATTGTCTGCATAAACCAAACTCTCAACATTATATCAGTCTAATCTTGCACATTTAATTTCCTTTCCCCCTGTTTAAAGTACAGTTTCTGTTGCAGTTCTGAACACTTCATGCAAAAGTGAGACAGCATGAAGAGACATATTTAAGTGATGTCACCAGTACTTACCAAGAAGAAAACGAACAGATATAATTGTGTGTCTACCCAATACAAAACTTGAGGTCATTCTGTGCCTTTTTTCACCAGGTTAAATTAGAATAAAGCTAAGGAAACAGTCCAGTAACAGTTGGTCCCTACCAAAGCAGGCTCTGCAAAACTGTCTGCAGAAATATGCCCAAGTACACTCTGTTTCTCCCTGTTTATGGCCACAAAAACCACTGCCACATCAAAATGAACGTGTCATGTCTGTGATTTCTAGATGGCTTGCGTATAACCCTTAAGACAGTGACTTTGAGATTATCACTGCCAAGACCTCTTTCAAATGAAGGCATCGTATGGGTGATCATAAAAAATTTTTAGGCAGTAGTCCTCTCTGCATTTCTAGCACTAAGTAGGGAATGACTAGTAGTGAATGGAACAACCGGACCTATGATTCTGATCTGCAATTGTTTCCCTTTCCAGTTGGAAGAGAATAACTAGTTTATTCCCTGGCCTGTACCAGCCTGCATCTCACAACTGCCTCCCTCCTGCTGTTTGGTGAATGGGGAGGTGAAATCAACACTCAACCTTCTTATCATGCAGAGATACAAATAACATAATCAGCTAGATTTTATTCTCTTGGAGCATTTACATCCTAAGCCGATGTGCATTAGCAACGCCTGAAATACAGTAGAATATTCACATGTACTTAGCTAACAAAAACATCAGAACTGGCAAATTTTATATAGATTTACACATACTCACAAAAACTTACATATACAAAGATACACATGCTAAATTTGGAAATCTGGGGGGAGAAAACCCACAGCTTTTCCTGGAGTTAAAATACCTTAGGAAAATTTAACACTTCAAACATTTATAATAAAGACATTTCAAATAAAACACTGGTGCAAAATGTTCCCTAACACACTGCATGATTCATACAGAAAGCTGAGAAACACTTGGTTCCAAAGATAAAAAAATAAACCAGACTGACCTCTTGCCAAGTAAGTAAATTTCTAGACATACTCTTTGAAATACTTTCTTCTGTCACGATATAATGAAAATTGGAGGCCACAATTAGACGTAAATATAATTTTTGCTTACACCACAAGACAAAATACACATTGTTTGCCCTCAAAAGAGAAGATTGGTAACCTGGTATAATTTACAGTGACCATGACAAAATTCAATAGAAGTTTAACAACCTTGGCCAATGGTACTGTAACCAATTTACTCAAAAGGTAGCTCTGAAGACCAACACAGGAATGTCTCAGCATTTCAGAAATTGAATCCCAAAATAGATAGTCTTAAAAAAGAGGATGCAATTCTAAAAAAAGGAAAATGTACTCATAATTCATTAAGTCGTCATATAAAAACTGGATATGGATCTCCAAGTTTCAGAAGACACATTTAAGATTTTCTGCCAGATTTTACAAGTGGTTCAAGACCCACATGTTTCTTAAGTTCCAATAAAGCCTAAAAAAGTGTTTCTCTTAAAAAACCACTTCCAACAATATATTTTTGAGTTCTTTTTAACAGACGTAAGTTTCTTATGCAGTAATTTTCAACTCTTCATTAGAAAGTCAAATAAGCTCATCCAAAAGGCACACCCTGTGCACTCCTGAACTTTTGAAGTGGTGAATCTGAATTTGAATTCTGTACCATAGTGAAGAGTTAAGCACAGCTAAATTAAACCCAAGGAATATAGTTCTACTGAGATAAACTACATATTTTAAGTATGCTGTTACTTTCAAATATGTTGCACACTGTTGCAAACAGTCCAGATTGTCAAGAGAAAAGTGTTAGTGTGAGTTTACACGGGTATGGTAATGCATCATAATTTAATGATTAATTAAAAACTTAATTAACTTATAGGGTTTTTTGTTACTCTAATAATTTGCAAGTTTCAGCCAACAAAATAGAATCTATAATATAATTTGTAGCTATAATTATTATTCCAGTAGTTCATAGTGCACCAGTCATGCCTTATATTTATTTGTAAAAGGAAGATCTTCAAAATATCATGTTCCAGTGCAGTTCTCTGCTATTCAGATTTTGCAGAAAAATAATGTAAAATGTGGATTTTGCATTAGAATGATTGTGTTTATAAAGTAACATGTCTGGAATGAAGCAAACAAAGAACCTGTTCTAATGGCAGACCAAGATTCATAATATGTCTTGAAAGGACTGCATCCAAAATCCCTAGCTGCAGTTTTACATCATTTGACAAACCTAGGATTCACAGCAGAGTATTTGTCCTGCCCAGAGACCCCTGCAATGAAAAGAACATGTCACTGATAGTGTTTCATGAATGTGGACTGTGATGACTATGCTTGTGTTTTACAAATCTATTCAAAAGATAAAAGGAGTCTTTTGGCCCATGATACAGCTCATTGGACAGAATGTGCCATGATACTTTCTAGAATGAAAGCTGAGAGGAGAGATTTTATTCTCACCTATTAGCAACACAGATAAAGGAAAAGAAATCCTCACTTCCAAATCATATGAAACATCAAAAGGCCAGCCTAGGAAGCAATCTTCTAGGCAATCCTTTCATGCCTGCCAGCAATTAGACCATTCAACAAACCTGCCTGCTTTCAGCTGAAGAAAATGTTGGAGCAGGTGCATTTCCTCTGAACAATGCCACCACACAGCCACACAGCCAGCAGCAAACCCCTCAGCCCAGCAAAAAGGTTTCTCTTTGTTCCTCTCTATATGATGCTCTCTGGAGAGCTGTTTTTCCTATTTGTATCACACCCACATAACTGACTACCCAGGGATATTACTGGATATCTATCCACCAGACTTTTATTCCTTCTTTACTTACAGAGTGGACCTGCTTGAGTTTTTTGGTTTTTTTGGTTTTTTTTAATTACTCAAAATAATACCAAATTGGGAACTAGAAATTATACCACCAGACTAACTAGGAAACATATTTCATAGTATTTTTAATGTTAATTGCAAAACTCAAAAATATGATTAAGAAGAAACATAGGCTTGTAGTCCAGTAGATTCTATCACATAGGAATTAGCTTCTCAGTAACTGACCATTTAATATAATTTACCATGTCATAAAGATTAATTAGAAAAACTTATTTACCTACATAAACCTGGGATTTAATTTGAATCACAGGCATACTACTCAAGGTCTACTCTCTTGAACAACTGCAAATAGACGACATAAAGCAAATGGTATATTTGGGGTAATGTCATCTTTTGAAGAGGCTTGTTGCTTACATTGCTCTTTTTCTTTATTATTTGTTACTGTTCATGTTTTAGGTAATATTTGTGTTAGTACTACAATATTACTGAGGGAAGAATAAACTAGGATAGAAAATTAGGTCACTACAGATTTCAAGATTTGGTGAGTTATGGATGCCAGACCAAGTGGAAAGAAAACAATAGGGCTGTTGAACATATAAATTAAATGACTGATGCCCTGAAAATTATTTACTAGTCTCATCTTAAAAATTCATAGCATCTAAAGAGGAAAATTTTGCACATATTGGATAG